TGTAGAAGCTGAGCAGTGACAGTTTGGGAATGTGGTTCATGTGTTTCACACAGCTTGGAGCCCAATGGCTGAGACCGCGCTCGCTTTGGCTCAAGGAAAAAGAAAGCGAGTGCTTGCGACTCTGCTTTTCACAGATGTGGGTGAAGGTGGATACGGCGGACATCCCGGAGACAGCCTACATGGTTATGACGGATGACTATTGGGGGCCATGCGCGGAGAAGGGTGCAATAGTTCCAGAAGGTGGATGTGAATGTCGTGCTGAACGTCTGGCGTAGAGACGATGGTGACAAAGTTTAGCACGCACGATATCGCGCTACTGCCACACTGGACAAAGCATCCGGCCGAACCTAGCGCCACAAATCAGGTGGAATGATCAACTACAAGTCCAATCAGACACCGGAGTGGCTGACCGACAAGTTGAGAAAGGCGGCGTATCGTGGAAGAAGGATTGGCATAGCGGTCGACCTGGGAGAAGCATGCAAGGATGCCACAACATGTTTTCGGGTTTTGCCTGGGTTTATCGCTGATGATGATGATGATGATGATGATGATGATCGACTTCAACGAGGAGGTGTTATTGGAATATGGATCTGGTGCTGGAGATGTATCGTGATGATGATGCGGAATATCTCTCCTGAACGACGACGTCGAGACCCGAGATATCAGATGGTGGAACGAAGGAGTTATTTATGACTGTCTTGTTTGATGCATGTTGCAGGACTCATGATGGCAAGGCATGCATGTACAGACGTTTGCTTGTGAATGAACAGTTTGGAGCGAGCGAGCCGCCGCAGCCGGCTCTGCTCGAGAGAGCTCTTTCGAGTAACGGAACAAAAGAGAGAAGAGTCCTTTTTACCCTGTTTGTATAGGCCCCTAGCTGTTGCACTGAGTTACCTGTCACTTGCTACCACTCAAGGGGAAACCCCCCTGGGTGACGAGTTGTGAGTTAGAGAGGTGTTGCCACTCAAGGGAAACCCGTTGGGTACCTATCTTCTGCACAACCACCCCCAGGGCATAGCTAACCTTGGGATCCTCACGTATTCGCGGTACGTGGGTGGCTTTCGTTGGTGAAGGAGTGATCACTGGAACCAACGCATTCGCAGGGATCGCCCTGAGCATCAACCTGTTTGCGGGCAAACTTCTCCAGAACGATATCCTCGTTCTACCACTACTTGCAGTATGCTACTGATAGTGTTCGTACTCACATGTGCAGGCGCAGTCTCGAAAGGTTTGAAACAATACGAAGATGATGGATCTTGTAGTTTGGGTATTTTTTTCAAAGTAAAGAAAATCACCTTAGATTGTCTTGGTGAGGTTTCAATGCATGTGGACTGGAGGTTGGAAAGGTGTAGTACCAGCACTAGTAAATTCACTACTGCTTATGCTGCTACTGCTTGTTTCCGTGTTCACTCTACTTGTGCAGAGAGCGCCCTGTTGCGTCGAACCAGTCATGGCTTTCTGCACAAACTTCAGATGTCCGAACCCCTCATACCCGAGAAATAGTCCCAAGAATGCAGAGCCCTTCAACCATGCCCAACACCCTCGTACACTGTAGCGTGGCATGTGCATGGTGTGGAACGCATTTGCCATATGGTACCTTGCACTTGCTCGCATGTTGCTGTTGCTAGGCAGTCTAGGTTACCCTAGGTTCAGCCAGGTTTCAGCGGTCCTGGACTTTTTGGGGGTTTCAAGGTGTTTCGAGCGGTGTGTTGGCCAATCCGGGACCAGGTTCCATGCTCCTGAACTTCCGCATGCGCTCGCGACCCATTTCTCAGCTCAACATGTACGTAGCTTAAGCGGTGATTTGCATGGTGCTGCAAGGTCTGTATTCAGCTATGCTAAAAGCTGCGCCTTGGACACCATGTCACGAGCTTCAGTAGACCTATACCCCCCACTACTATTATGGGTAGGCTTGGGTATCCCTAAGCCCCGAGCCCCCAAAAGAAAGGTATATAGGCCATTGTGGCTCGTTTGGGGGGTCCAAGCGGCCACGAGAGACCCCGATGCAGCTGCGCAGGCCGCGGGAGGCGTCGAAGTTGATTTAGGGAAACCTGGGTTTAGTTTCGGGTTTGCGGTTTTCGGGTTTGCGGTTTTCGGGTTTGCGGAGTGCTACCATAAGTGCTGTAGGTCTCTTTTTGAGAGGATTGGGGCAGTTGGTACTGGGGAAGCCCAGTAGCAAGCCCACAATAATACGCTTCGCAACAGTTGCACAGGTTGCACTGCATGGTAGCTGAGGTTCCATGTCTAAGAAAAGCTCGGCAGAAGACCACTCCACAAGAATGGGAGTGCCCCAGGAAGCCCTAAACCCCCTAAAGCCCCTAAGCCCCCAAACCCTCTGCACCCTAGAAAGCTCTTTAGACCCTACAAATCCTAAACCCTAAACCCTAAGCCCTACACCAAAACTAGACGAAACCCGGTTCCGTAGCCGAGGCGCCCTCGGAGTGAAGCCTGTAAGACTTTGGGACAGTACGGCACTTTTGGGGTCACTTGCTGTGGGTTCGTGGGGAGTGGGGGAATAAGATGCCATATATAATCCCTTAAAAGGGTACACACAGGTGGATATATGGCATCTTATTCCCCCATTCCCCACGAACCAACAGCCAGGTCAAGGGTCAAAAGGGGGCTATGGAAGACCCCTTTCGCCCACAAGAAACTACACATGCCCTAAACCCTAAATCCTCAAGCCTAAACCCTAAACCCAAAGCCCACCTTGAGGGGAGGCTCGAACCTTGAGCCTCGCCCGACTTTCTCAAAGATCCGCGCAGGGGTTGTTCTAAAGTCGGGTACCCTCATCTGTGGTTTAGGGTTTATAGGGTTTAGGGTTTCATGGGGCCTCTTTATCAATGGACCCCACGCACCAAGAAAGAAGTTAAACCCTGAACCCCCCATGCGCTAAACCATACGTCGAAGGCTTTATGGCTAGTGTTGGTGCGCAGTGTGTGCGCTGCTGCAGCCGGGCTTAGGGAGTTTGCGCTCTGTGTGTGTGTGTGTGTGTTGTGCGAAGTGCTTGTGTTCACGAAGCACGGAGTTAGGCCGGCAGCAGACTACCGATGTTAATTTTGTGAGCCAGAATGCCTTGTGAATTCCTGAGAGATTTAAAGAAGATGAGTCGAGTTCCCCTGCGTGTACTATGTGTACTCGCTGACTGTGCGTGGTTAAGGCTTTGCTGACAGGATTTGTCTTTCCCGGGCTACGTAAAGGTACAAGGGATGATTCAACACTTGCGGCCCATGCGACCAGCTGTGCAAGGCCGTATTGGCCGTGCCAACTATAGGCTACAAGAGGATGTTGTAATCGGCTGGGCTCGGTTCTTTGTTGCAATGGCTACTTCTCGACATCCTGCCGACATCGGTGGGATTTAGGGTTCAGGGCGGGGTCGCATCAGAAAGGATAGCATGGTGTGCTGGCAGCCTGTCGTGTTATGGCTCAGAATCCTGCATAGCCGCAAATTGGACTGTCCCACGGAGATCCTTGGCCGGGTTGGGTTTCCGATGTTGTCTGATGTGATGTTTTTTTTCTGTGTGTATTTATGTATGTACGTACGTATGTATGTATGTATGTATGCATGTATGTATGTAGATGAATTTATTTGTTTTTTTATTTATTTGTTTTCTGTGTATAAACACGCGATAATTCAGAAGAGGTCAGATGCTCATCAACACAGGGAGTGTTTGGGGTCCAATCTTGGATTTCTGTGGCCCACAAAAAGGCCGACTTGTTAAAGTCGGATGTATACTGGCAACAACCTACCTGCCTCTATCCTTGAAGGAGCTTGTGTTCTGGATTCCAAACGAGTAAGCCCGAAGCCTGTAGCGCAAAGACACGCAGCTGCCAAGGAGTCACGCAAATGGCGCAGGCTCATACGGGTAAAGGCCTTGAGACCAAGTGCGCTCGGCCGTGGCAATCGTGTGCACGGGGGGCACGTAGATGCACATAGGGGCACATAGATGTAGAGCACCACCATGCCAAAGTAGCACGTGCCCGCCCTGCACAGGGTTGCCTTAATCGGGAGGGTGGGTTCGGGGTTGGGAGTTCAGGACTTGATGTTCCGTGCTGTTCCGAGTGACTCGAGCGTTTAGGAATTCAGGAGCTGTTGGCATGGAGTGCTGGTGAGGCAGAAGCTGTCTGTTGATGGGGTTTTGGGGAGTGCCCACAGTGCTGGGCACAGGGTTAAGGCGGTTAGGACTTCCGGAGGTCCCCTTGGAGGTTCAGGTATAGGCTATAGGGGTGTCATCCTGTAAGCAAGGTTTAAGTAGCGTGCTGTTTTAGGGCTTTGAGGGTTTTGTGGCATAGCCCTAAACCCCAAACCCTGGGTTCAAGTAGAGGTTTATAGGGACTGGGGCGGATTAGGGGGATGAGGATGTTTTGTGGCTTTTGGGATTTCGGAGCTTGGAGGGGTGGTGTCGAGCCCAAAATTTGGGTATGCAGGGCTAGGCGTGTAATTAGGACGAGTTTGAGGTTTAGGGTTGAGGGGGCGGAGCCCATAAAACCTGATAAGCTTTGGGTGTGTTGGTTTAGGCCTTGGGTGTTGTAATCAGGACCCCAGTGCGCCTCTCAACCGAGAACTCATCTCAGCTAGCAGACAACCAAAACGAGCCCCCAGATCACAGGTGGGTAGTCATTGGGCGGGTCTAGTTTCCTTAGTACTCCCATAAGGACTCCCATGAGATGCCTTGTACTTTGTAGGAGTGGTGTAGAAGGTTTATAGGAGATTGCCGACCTTATAGCCTATCTACCTGTAAATGGCTCAGTCCTGAATCCTGAATGCAAAACGAAGGAGACCTGAATGAACCGTGAACCCTACAAAGCCAGGGGAGAACCATTTTGGGGTGGGTCAGGTGCCTTCTGCGAGAACGCTCACCTACGCGAACACAGCTCCTGCAGCAGCCATCACCGCGGCGCCAGTGTGGGGATCGTCACTGCAATACCATCAATACCCGCCACAGCCAGCCCCACCGCAGCCAGTTCCCTGCGCGCCTGCCTATCTGCCCCCTGTGACTATGACTATGCCTCCTGCCCAACTGCCGGCATTTCCAGTACGCGCGGTCCCTGTGCAGCCCATGACCTATGCTTCCCCAGCAGGGCCGACCGCGTCTCTCATGCCCCCTGTCTGCGCAATCCCGGCTCTCATGCCTGTTGATGGAGCATCAGCAGCGCCGCCCATGTATCCTGTGCTGGTATATATGGTTATGGAAATCCCCGCCGGCATGGACATCTCCCAATATGTTGCACCAGCACCGGTCAGCTACTCTCCGGCCCCTTTCGCACTTCAAGCACAGGCCCCCATGACATCCTCGGCTGCAATGACCTCACCGTTCCAGGGATTCCAGACCGTTGGACCAGCACCTGTTACACAACCTGCGTACCCGAACTACGACACGTACCCACAGCGGCAGATGGCTGCGCCCCCGGCCCCATACATGTACTCGGCCGCCCCGCAAGCAGCGCCAAGAAGGATGGCCGAGGCCTCAGACGACTATAAGACTGCGTGATTGTTTCGCTTTTTCTGCTGCCAGCCTACCGTCAGACCTGCCTGAATTGATGCTCTGCAGGTCGTGTGTTTCCTGTTGAACTTTTTGCGCTTCGGAAATTGTGTTGGCGGATTCATTAACTCCAACCCTCAAGGACCACTGCGGCTGCAACGATGGTGCGATCAGCGCGATCCCCCACGAGGAGTTTTGCCAAGCTCATGTGGCACTTGGGTTTTGGGGGGTGTTGGGTCTAGGGAGTCGTGAGAGTCGAGAGTCGATGGGAACATGTGGGGCCGTTGCTGAGCATATTCAGAAAACACTACTCCCACAGCCACCGCGCAGGTCGCAATGCCACAAGGTTTGCATCAGCACATTTGTCTCTGACATGCATGCTCATGCATGATTAGCATGATTGCCTCGCCATTGTCATTAGTGGCCCTCGCGGGCAGCAAGCGTAACCGCTTGAACACGTGGAGCATACAAGACTGCGTAATGTCATTCGCAGGACTTGCTGGAGGCAAGTCACAGCGACTGGTGGAAGCCTTAGCGCTCCAACAGCCCAGACAGTCTACAGAGAGTGGGAGTTGAGAGTTGAGACTTTCATTTCGAAAGGTTGGGAGTTGAGAGTGCTGTGTGTAGGCGATCGTTTTGAACAAATGTCCGGTAGTTGATCGAAAGGTCTGTGTCTTTGGATTTATATAGAGATATCTCCGCGAAAGTCTCGCGATGGGTCTGCTAAAGTTTTGCAAGGGCCCGCGAAAGAAGCTGTGTAGGCCTATGGTTTTCATTGTCGCTGCCACTTACCATGAGTCAACCATAGGTCTGCGCAAGTCCGCGATGGGTCCGCGAGGGTTGCCGAAGGGCCCGTGAAAGAACCTAAGGCCATTGTTCTCAACTGTACTGCCATTCACCAGGAGGCAACCATGGGTCCGCGAAGGTCCACAATGGGTCCGCGAAGGTCATCTAAGGAATCTAAGGGCCCGCGAAAGAGGCTGGTAAGGCCATTGCTTTTAACTGTCACTGCTTTCAACTGTCAGTGCCATTTACCATGAGGCAACCATGGGTAGGCAAAAGTCCGCGATGGGTCCATGAAAGTTATCCAAGGGCCCGCGAAAGAAGGTGTGCAAGGCCATTGTTTTCAATTGTTTCTGCCATTTACCATGAGGCAACCATGGGTCCGCGATGGGTCCGGGAAAGTTATGCAAGGGATCCGCGAAGCGGCAGCTTGCAAGAAAAATGAACTTTGATCAACCACCAGTTCAGCCAGTTGTTCACCCGTTTCATGTTAAAGCCACGGTTAAGCACTTGAGGACGATTGAGCTGCAGGGACAGTCTTTGTTTGAACATTGCTTGCTTCAACACTGTCTTTTGTAGGATGACACCAAGCGGCGAAGGCCATGACGCAGGCCAGGTACCCGGCTGCATCAACGTCTGTATAATTGCGTATATTGTCTTAATGCTGGTGGCATTTCTGGGTGTTGGGAGGCACAAGCTCTACCGCCAACTCCGGATCCACCTGTGACAAGTGTGATGGCAACCACCCTACAGACAGGCGGACATTGAGGGGTGCATGTTGGGGCCTTTCATCTGCCTGAACACTTTGCGGACAGGTGCCCCCACTTTGAGAAAGAGCGGGAGAAGCACAAAGATGCCTGGGCCCGGCTCTTGGGGCACCGGGCACACTTCTCGTGAACATCTGCATCTCTCCCTTTGCTCTCTTTCCCCAGCCCTTCAGACTTGATTGCTCAAGCTCTTTATCTTATCTCGCTCCATGTCTCTCTCTCTCTCTCTCTGTCTCTTTGTCTGAGTTCGATGTTTCGGAGATTTTCCGAGGTCAACCGCGGCTGCAAGAGGAAAATGGGCGGTGACCCTGGCAATTTCATCCTCAGGAGACGCATTGGGCACCTTGCTACCGAAGCCCATCGCTGCTTCGAACAACTGCTTTGTTGCCTCGCAGGAACGCGGAGCTCGTTCAGCAGCCTCAAGATGGAAGCTGCTTGTACCATTCCCTCAGCCACGGTGCGCTGCAAGTTTTGCTGCTCTTTTTTGTGGTTTCGGGCAACAGTCTAACTAGGGTTTAGAATGCCAGCAGACGGGCCGAGGGTACGCAAATGGGAAATAACGTGAAATATACACACGGCCCCTAAACGCCAAAGTGATTCGCAAACCGTGAGAAGATGCATATTTTGCTTTGCCAGGCTTAGGCGGCACCACTGCGGGATGCCTTCGCCTGGATCCGAGGATCCAGAGAGTTTGGTCTGGCGTCATGGGCGTCATAAGACGGGCTCCAGGGCCGGAGTCAGGTCGAGAGCTGGCGCAGTTCGTCCAAGATCACCCTCACCTGGACATTGCCGGAGACGCCCTCAAGGACAAAGGGCTCAGTAACGATCAGCAAGAGTTATACCGGGCCTCGCATGGCCGAGTGTTCAAATCGTCAGTCATATCGTGCTGTTGTGAGGAGTGGGTTCGGTGGGACTCTGGTTGCTCTGTTGGCGAGTGCCCCGCCGATTGGTGGGTTTCGTTGCTGTTCGTCCTTGGCCTCTCCCAATCTGGTGACCTGAGGTACGCCCGTCGTCAGAGAGTATTTGGGTGGGGCGGTGGCATCGAGATGGTCTGCGCCTCTTGTTTCTGCCTCGTCACTCATTGCTTGCGTGGTGTGCTTTTTGCTCTGTGCAGGCTTGCTGCGCCCATCTGAAGAACGTCAACATCCACGTTTACGAGCGCAGCCGCGGGACCCATGGCCGCATAGTAGTCAAGGCATTGTCCGCAGTTTCGACTCCGGGTCAAAAAAAGCTGTTTAAGGGATCACAATAAAGCCGTATTTAAAGGATCAACAAACTTTTTTACAATTCGAGAGTAGAATCAAGACTAGACTATATTCAACTTTCGGGAGGGAGGGAGAGAGACAGGGAGAGAGAGAGAGAGAAGGACAGACAGACAGACAGAAAGAATGAACGAGCGACAGAAAGAAGAGCATAAATAAATTATGAATCAGGAAATTCCCAAGCAAATACAGAAAGAAAGAGATAAATCAAGAAAGAAAACAGAACGACATAAACAACACACGATATTAAACAAATCACCACACACACAACCAAACAAGTAACACAGACAGAGAGCACGCACGACATAACGACAAACGTAAAGAACGAAAGACAGAAGCAAAGAAAGGACAACATAACGAAATGGGAAAACAATTAAAGACGCAAGAACCAGAGAGCCAGCGGGGGGGGGGGGGGGGGGGGGCACAAATATAAACCAATAACTAAAGACATGCACAACCAGAGAACGATAAATAAAAACAAAAAGAGATAGAACGACAGCGAAAGAAATAACGAAAGACATAAATAAGAAGACAAGGAAAGACAGATATAAATAAATGCAGAACAAGAAGCACCAGCAGTAACGAGAAAGAAAGAAAGAAACAACCCACACCTGGTATACCAGCATGGTGTTTGCAAATGGGGAGGGGGGTCTCCCCCACAGCCCCGCAATCCCCCAGTTTTTCAAAGCCGTGCAAGCGTGCTTTAAAGAACACCGTGCCATCACCGGGAATTGCTGCAAGAGCCATGAATCCTTTGCTGTGATCGCAAGAAATTGCTGCAAGAACCACATGAATCCTTTCAACACCTGGCATGCCAGCATGGTGTTTGCTTTGCAAATGGGGGGGGGGGGGCAAATGGGGGTGGAGATCAAACGGGTGGGCGGCTGGCGACACCCCCCCCTCCCCCCCAACGCCCTGCTTAAGCCATGCAAGCGTGCTTTGAAGAACACTGTGCCATCACCAGGAATTGCTAGAACCACATTCCTTGTAAAACCTGGCATACCCAGCATGGTTTGCAAATTGGGGGGGGGGGGCAGGTGGCAGCCCCATGAATAAACACATGCGTGCCCAGAGTTGAAGTTCAGGTTTTAAGGCTTAAGGTCGAGAAGGTATATGTTGAAACGTCGCTTGCCGGTAGAAATTAAGGAGACACGTGGTCCCCAAGTCCGAAGCCCGAGCGCGATGTGTTGCGGGGTACAACGCCAGAATATGTCGCAGGATGAAAACCATGACCCCGGAAAGCTCTCAGGAGCACGCCTGGATGGGAGCACGTTTTTGGACCGAAGGAGGCCCACGCCTAGACGGAAGTGCGATGTTGACACGGTACCAGACTCAGGCCTGGACCGGAACAGGTCTAGACTCTAGGCGGGAGCAAGCTTCGGACCAAAAGGAGCGCCCCACTTCGGCAAGAATAGAGACATCCAGCCCTACTTGGGAAACAAGATCCCTTATTTTTCAAAAAAACTTTAACCCCTTGAAAGTAGTTTTCTTGATCCTTTAAAATACGTTTTTTGATCCCTTATACGAAATTCGACTCCTGCCTTTCTGTTGCGTTGCTCGGCTTGCTCATGCTGTGGTTTAGGGTTTAGGGTTTAGGGTTTAGGACATCTCGCCCTGTCATCAATAGCAAACAACAAATGCACACACAGGAGCATCTGCGATTTCAAGCGGATCTCCCGCTTTGACGCCCCGAACCAGGCCGGGATCCAGGCAACCATTGCGCCCTAAACCCTAAACCCTAAACCCTAAACCCTAAACCCTAAACCCTAAACCCTAAGCCCTAAGCCCTAAGCCCTAAGCCCCAAAACCCTAAACCCTAAACAAGAAACCCTAAACCCTAAACCCTAACTCACTTCAGCCCGATGGTTTTAGCTTGCCCCGTCGCTGTGCGCTGTGAACCGGAGGACATGCAGTGTTACAGACTGTCAGTTTTCAAGCCATTAGGGTTTGGGGTTTAGGGTTTAGGGTTTCATCAACTACTCCTGTTCTCAATCGACCTGGCTCAGCTGTTCAGGATCGGCACGTTCGCACAATCCATGCCAGGAACCTCAGATGTCGAGCAATAGCGGGGTCCTTTTGAAGATGTCTTGCATAGAAGTCTTAGTGAAGATTGGAAATCGCCGGTCAGACGACCCAGCTCATCACCAAGAAACTGTTTAGCCAAACCTTGCTGTTGTTTTCGTTTTCTACCCAGGTGCTTTATCAGGCAGTCTTCATTATGACTTCTTGCGCGTCAGGCACATGGACCTTCATAGTTTACTGGCCAATCAGTCGCTTTGCTGGGCCTTTGTGGAGTGGGGGGAACGTGGAGTGTGTGGACATTTTTTTTAATGGCCGGCAGGATCAATGAGCGAGATGTTGGTGGGAAATTGGAAGCTGTAGCAGAAACCCTAGGCCTAAACCCTAACCCTAAACCCTAAACCCAAAACCCTAAGCCTAAGCCCTACTGATTGATGTCGACCTGGACCCGTAACCTGAGCTGCGGTTTTGTTTTGGAGTTATGGTGCGGCGTGGACTGCCTAGCCCCTGAAACCTTAACACCAAGTAACCCTCAGCCTTAAACCCTAATACTCAAATGAGTAAGGAGTAAGAAGTAAGAAGTAAGAAGTAAGAAGTAAGAAGTAAGAAGTAAGAAGTAAGAAGTAAGAAGTAAGAAGTAAGAAGTATGAAGTAAGAAGTAAGAAGGAAGAAGGAAGAAGGAAGAAGGAAGAAGGAAGAAGGAAGAAGCAAGAAGCAAGAAGCAAGAAGCAAGAAGCAAGAAGCAAGAAGCAAGAAGCACGAAGCAGGAAGCAGGAAGCAGGAAGCAGGAAGCAGGAAGCAGGAAGCAGGAAGCAGGAAGCAGGAAGCAGGAAGCAGGAAGCAGGAAGCAGGAAGTAGGAAGTAGGAAGTAGGAAGTAGGAAGCAGGAAGCAAGAAGCAAGAAGCAAGAAGCAAGAAGCAAGAAGCACGAAGCAAGAAGCAAGAAGCAAGAAGCACGAAGCAGGAAGCAGGAAGCAGGAAGCAGGAAGCAGGAAGCAGGAAGCAGGAAGCAGGAAGCAGGAAGCAGGAAGCAGGAAGTAGGAAGCAGGAAGCAGGAAGCAGGAAGCAGGAAGCAGGAAGCAGGAAGCAGGAAGCAGGAAGCAGGAAGCAGGAAGCAGGAAGCAGGAAGCAGGAAGTAGGAAGTAGGAAGTAGGAAGTAGGAAGTAGGAAGTAGGAAGTAGGAAGTAGGAAGTAAGAAGTAAGAAGTGAGAAGTAATAATAAAGAGTCACGGTAATCGTAATGATCCCATGTGCAGGCATGGCCACCAGACCCTCAAAGGCAAAGATAATGAGGCCGGCCTTGAGGGTTTACCAGTAGGGCTTACCAATACGCCTACGTTGTAGCACTACAGGGTTCAGAGGAAGGTTCTGGAGCATTTGAGCTTCGGATATGTTTGGGCTTGCAGGTACTCTGCACCCTCCTGAGGGGCCCCACCCTGACCGTGCTCCTAATGAGCCGAAGCTGGTACCTATGCTGAGAGTGCCCTATGCCCAAAGCCCCATACCCCAATACACAACAACCCAAACCCCATAATCCCCAAATGCCCTACAAGCCCGCTAAACTCTCTAGACCCATAGACAAACGTCCGAAAACGCAGAGTGCAGGAAGTGCGAATCAAGTAGCTTGGTTAGCGGAAGTGGTCGTGTGATCTTCAGTAGAAGCCCTTCAAGCCCTCTCCACCCTCCAAGCCGCCCTCAACCGAATCCTAAGCTCCATACTGCCCTACAAACCCCTAAACCCTACACCCTACACCCTAAACCCCACAAGCCAAGCCCTGAAGCACCGATCGCCCTGAAGAGGATGCCCACTTTCAACTCTATGGCGAGGCGGCACAGCACAGGCCCCCGATCCCTGGCTTTCCTTACTAGTTCTTGGTAGGGAATTCGGGAAATATCAGGTACCGTACACCCATAATTGAAGGGATTCTTAGAGGGTAGGGAACTCCCAAATTCCCTACTGAGAACCAGGAAGCTTTGTTATATTCAGTTACAGCGCGTTAAGGCTTCAGAAGGCTTCAGGGGGGGCTTAGGGCTTTCCTCCAAAAGGATGATCGTGGTGTGGGGTACAGCAGGGGATCCTGGGAAATGCCCAAGTCAGCACTTTGCAAGTACTCCTCGGTTTCCACAGGCATCCACTTGTCCCGGGGTCGCCAGCATTGTCCGTGAACTGTTTGGCAGTTCCTATGCTTTTGCTGAGCAGATTGACGCCACATGATGAGCACTTCAAAGCGAAATTGCCCAGTTTGCCTTTTCTGAGACGAGTGTGCAGGTTCTGATTCTGAATCTGTTGGGATTCTGGTTGATGCGGTGGTGATGCGCATGGAGGGGCGTCAATTGTGATGCTTTCCTTCAGGGAGCCTAGAGCCCTACGTCTGAAAGTTAAGGCTCGCTGCCTCTCAAAGGTCACCGGCACAGTGTAAGAGGTGTTTTGAATTAAAGGCCGCTTCACATTCAACAAAATAGTTTAATGTAGCATAACACAGTATAGCAGTACAGCCCCCAAGTCCAGTTTCTGGTGGCCGCTGGTCCCTTGCTCGGGAGGGCCCCCTAAACCGCAGCCCATCCCAAACCTTAACCTCCCACGAACCCAGGAACCCTAAACCCTAGCGCACCACGCCCTCAGGCCCGTTCCGATGCCCATGGCCTCCATCCCTGAGCTGGGCTCGCCGTGCCCTAAGTTGTAGAGGTTTAAGGAAGGGGGGTGCAAGGGCTCCAGAAATCCCGAAAAAAGTCCTTAATACTACAAGCCTGAGAAGGGGAAATGGGCCCCTTACACCCTCTCCCTTGCATGCAGCAGATCCCCTTTTTGTTGCTGTTCTGTTGGGCCTAGGGCGGGCTGAAGACTCTGAGATTTTCAGGGGTTTCAAAGCCCTATATATAGCTCTAGACTGAACAAATCGGCAGCAATCTGACCTTGCTTGCTGGAAACCCTCTGGGGCGCGCCGGGGTAGTTGAGAACGCCAATCGGAGCTCCCAATGACGTTTATCGGAGAGGGCTGAGATGGCAGGCCAGACAGCGCGTTAGCCAGGCCGGATGCACGGCGAGCCGATCCCACACTGAACAAATCGCGCATTCCGAACCCAAATCCTAAAGATTCTCAAATTCTCAACACCAAACCCCAAACCCTAAACCCTAAACCCTCATTTGCTTGAGCTCAGGTCCATGCCGATCCGGAATCAAATGCGAGCCGAAGCGGCACCGTGCGAACCTGAAGTCCTGGCTTCCGCGGCTTATATTATATTTTTAGTGTGTGTTATATTATGTTATATTTTAATTTGTGTTATTTTGTATTATATATTAATTTGTGTTACATTATATTAAGTTTATCTTCTATTATATTGTAGTATATGATATCTGCTATATATATATATATATATATATATATATATATTATTTTTTTTTTTTTTTTTTGCTTTAGGGCTTTAGGGCTTCGCGTCTGCACGACTGTGCACTGCGTTGGGCTTCGGAGCGCGATTTGTCTTTTCAGGTTCATTCCTGGCTCCATGCCACTCAGCGTCCGAGCGTAAGGACCCGAATGATGGGTTTAGGGTTTAGGGTTTATAGGGTTTAGGGGCACTGCCTTTTGCAACCTTAAGCCTGCATGCCCTCTGGCTTCACAGAAACCCCCAAGCTCGAGCCGATGGCGGGGGATCAATGCAGCTAGTCTTCATGTGCCTGTCGCTTCAGGACCCTCGGTGGCATGAGCCACTTGTCAAGCATTTTAATCCGCTCAAGCAATCCGACTGGTCAGACTTCTCTTACTGTTGGTTAGGGGGGAATGGGGGAATAAGGTACCATATATCCCCCTATATAATCCCTTAAAGGGGTTTAGGGTTTAGGGTTTAGGGTTTAAGGTTTAGGGGGCCAGACTGTTGGCATACAAGCTGCCAGCAGAGACGGTGCCCCCCAGCAGCCAGCCGACTCGGCCATGCATGTTGAACTTTAATGCCACCCAGTGTGGGGTGGGTAGATGTTGGATGATGTAGCGAGTTTCGGAGTCCTCAGAATTGTCAACGCTTGCACACTCCAGGAGAGCCTCTCCAGCTTAAGTCACTTTACGGGGACATAATCCAAAAGAGCACGCATGAATGAGGTCCAGCAGTGCGTCACAATGAGCCGTGTGCGTAAGGCAGAAATGCAGCCTTCGCAGGCTTAGGCACAGCCTTGTACAATGCGCAGCTACCAGAGCTGTCTTCAAGCGTCGGACAGAAGACCTCAGGCGAGTTTTAATTTCCTGAGGGTGCTGTTGGTGTGCCCCTACGTGCCTCTGGCATGTTCTTTGGAACGTTGCGCCCTACTACTCTGTAAGCCTTGATTTCTAGGAGCCAGAACTGTATGGGGTGTGTAGATTTGAACGCTCGTTCCTAGCCGAGTTCAAAGCTGAGGTCCCAGAAAACGGCTGCATATGGCTGTAGGCCAGTTACAAGTTACAACGGTAGGGCGGCGACTCGGCCCCCAAGACAAGCTGAGATGGGACCCTCAGCTTAGATGCATCATGAGTCTGAGTGCGGAGCTGTTCTTGCTCGGCAGACTTGACAACTGCCAACTGCCGCGAAGTGGCGAAGGTTCACCCCTAGATGAAAAAGCTGCTGATGTATGGCTCTTGTGTTGGCCATCTGAGTATCTAAGCATTTCAGCCCTGAGTTTGAAAGCCTCCGTGCTCTTCACCATTTGAAGTGAGGGCGAGGAAGGCTCAGCAGCACTGCATGCCGTGCAAGCCACTGCGGAGAAGCACTGGCAGCATGCAGCAGCGTCTTTTTGAATAGCATTCAGGCAGTTCAGGCAGTTCAGGCAGTTCAGGCAGTTCAGGCTGTAGCTAGCAACGGCCACACACGTTTGCTTTTAGAGTCATGCTGCTGAGCTAGCCGCTCTCCATGACAGCTGTTTTCCTTCGCAACAGAGTGCAGCAGCAAGAAACGATCAGGAACTGTTTGAGGCAATTGCTTTCTTGGCGCTTTGTCAAAATTTCGCATTCTTCCACCCGGAAGGGGGCAACTTGCTACTAGGTTCTAGTGGGTTGTGTCTTTGCAAGGACCAGACAACCCTGAGTATCCGCAGCCATGCTTGGGACGGCGTGTCTCATCACGCAAGTACTGGCATATAGTGTGTAAGGAAACCCGCGCACTACAAATAAGATAACACTAGTAGCATCAAGCTTAGCAGGTGAAACCTACTTACCTTGAATGTTTGTCTAGCGCACCACACCCTTGGCAATGTTTACTCACTAATTATTTTGCTTGCCATTCGCACAGATCGCCTTGTTTTGCAGCCTGCAGCAGGTCGGCTTGCATCAGACTTCTGGTCTGCCGGCTCGGTCACTCAAACCTCGGGAACTACCACAGGCCGCACATTGGAAGCTTCAGAGACATTTAGAGATGTTCCCACACACACACCGACTTCACTAGACTCGGCATCAATATGCCATAAAGAATATAGGGTTTTAAGGTTCTCTTGTATAGGTAATTAAAGCCCAAACCTAAACCCCAATAAGCCTAAACCTTTAAACCCGATAGGGTTCAATGGTTCGATGCATACCTTCAGCACCCTTCAGGGTTAAATCTTTAAACCTTTGGGAGCCCTATAGGGTTTTACGGTTCTGACCCTAAACGAATCAGGGTTAAGGTCTAAATGCCCGAACTTTAAACCCTTAAGGTGAAAACCCCTTAAGGTGAAAACTCTTTGAGTTTTCGTTTTAAATGCCTAAGTCCTAAACCCTAACCCCTTAAACCTTAACTCTATAGGGTTCAAAGGTTCGGGTTTAGGTTGAATTGCCGGCTTAGGTTTACATGCCTCAATCTTAAACCCTGAACCTGTCAACCTTAACCCTATAGGGTTGGGGCGCCTACATCATGATCGGATTTGACGATCTCTGCGGATATATGTATATGACAAGGTTGTAACTTTTTGCTGCGGTTATAACTAGGGTTCAGGGTTTGATTTATATACATGTAAATACACCTATAAGACAATGAGGGTAACCCCATCACGCCCCAATAAGCAAAACAAAACCTCTATCCTAAAAACTTTACCGAGGCTAAGATATCCCAAGCAACCATCCCCCGATAAGCAAAACCTGAATTCTATCATATAACGATATGGTTGGTGTATATTTTGAATCCCAGGAAGTAGTGAAAGGACGTTTGCTCACAGTATTCTCGCGTCACCGGGACGAAAGCCCTACAAGCATCGGCATAAATCTATGGGATTTAAGGTTTAGGGATTTAAGCCCCAAGCCCTATAGGGCTTTAAGGTTCTATTGTATTGGTAATGCCCAAACCTTTAACCCTTCCGGGCCCACCCTAAAAATGAACCATAAGAAATCAAGTTGAACTTACCTAACCAGTAACGTATGACAGTCAACCACGCCCATCTAACCTTAGTATAGTTCAACTACTTAACTTCGCCCATCCAACCTCAAACAACGGAATCTTCAACGAAGAGCCCCCCCCCCTCCCCCCCCACCCCCAAAGAATCAATGCTTATAAGCAAGCCAACTGCTTATAAGCAAACCCTTCCTCTGCACAAAAAAAACTCTATAAAGATGAACCATAAGAAATCAAGTTAACCTTACCTAACCAGTAACGTATGACAGTCAACCACGCCCATCTAACCTTAGTATAGTTCAACTACTTAACTTCGCCCATCCAACCTCAAACAACGGAATCTTCAACGAAGAGCGTTTCAAAAACGCAGGCCCCACAGCGCACCCTTCTGTAACCCTAAGCCTTTAAACCCTGTAGGGTTCAATGGTTCAAGAAAACCTAAGGTCTGGGCATATATACCTTCAGCACCCTGTAGGGTCAAAACCTTTGTTCCTTGTAGAGCCCTATCGGGCTTTAGGGTTCTGACCCTAAACGGTTCAGGGTTAAGGTTTAACTTTCAACCCTTAAGATTAAATCTCTATGGGTTTAGGTTTAAAGTTAAAAAGGACCTAAATTTTAAACCCTAACCGCTTAACCTTAACTCTATCGGGTTGAACGGTTAGGGTTTAGGTTTCATTGCGGGCTTACGCTTAAATGCCTCAATCTTAAGCCCTAAACCTGTCAAACTTAACTCTATAGGTTTGGGGTGCCTACATCATCATCGACTTGTTGCTGTGGTTATAACGATGGTTTAGGGTTTAAAATATATACATTTATGTAAACCTATAAAAAATAAGTGAACCGCAATAGGCGGACGCCCAAATATAGCCATAGACATAGATATAGATATAACTATAAATATAAATATTATAGAGAACAGACATAGAAATGTTTAAATAGAGAACAAATATACAGATATCAATGCAAAAAACATATGAATACATACGTAAGTAAAATCCTGCGCTAGGCCACACAGCTGTTCCAATGCGTCCAGCAGTCGCGAACTTGGCATTCTACGGAAGGTTCGCGTCGAGCGCTAGGGCTTAGGGTCAAGTGCTATGGAGTTTGAAGCACTGCAAGTCGAAGGTAAGTAAGATGTTGACTCGCAGGTGGGTGATCAAGGTCAAGAGTCGCGTTCCGTTCAACAGTAGCGCCTGAAAACGCCCAGAATTGCATCTCCCCCCACCGGGTCAGGGTTTGGGTTGGTTGCAAAAACGGGTTCTTGTATCATGGAGTCCTGTGACATGCCCAGGCAGAAGCATCTTCTGCTCTTGTGAGGGGGCGTTCCTGCCGTGGCCTAACATTGGCCTCCCGCATGGCTGCGAAGTCACTGAGAGCGAAAATTGTTTTCGAAAGCCAGGTTTTCTTAAAGTACCTGCGCTGTAGCTTTGGGGGATTTTGTTTGACCCAGATGATGGATCCAGAGATTTCAAGAGGATCTTGAAAACTTAGTGCGCTTGCGTGGACTGCACAAACGGCATTTCACAAACGAAACCAACCGTACTTAGGTTCAAGAAAGTTGAGCTGAATGTGACGTCAATTGGAGCTTGCAATCGCCCTGGCACCTACATCCCCGCGCTGTATGTGCCTGGTGATTTTGCGCTTGTTTTCTATTCCCCGGACCCTTACATGTAAATGTACCTGCCTCTGCCGGACAAAGTGCACATGACTCGCTTGCCACTGGCACGGGAAACCACCAATTTCCACAAGATCTCTTCATCGGATGTGCAAACAGTCAAGGACCGTCAAGGCAATGTCGATAGTTGGCTCTCTCTGCATGTTTCGGCGAGCATTTGGGATCCAAGCGTTGCTCTCCAAGCTTGCGGAAGCATGGTTCGAGCCACACTGATGGAGGACGTGAGAAGCACAAAACACTTGTCATTCTGTCCTAGACTCTGCTGCAGACTATGCAGACTGTGATCTTGTATGTTGGGCCCCATGGCTAAACAGCCGTCTGCGTCACAGGACTTCATGCCGGTGCCCACAGAGGCAGCGACATGCAGCGAATCAGTTCAACTGTTCACAAACTCCTTTCTCTGCGTTTGCAAGGCGGCGACCCAAGCAGTTCCCACCCAAGAGGACGGCTTGTGGCTAGAAGACTTGAAGATGCCGCACGTTCTTTCGCAAGATCCTGCAAGAACCCACCCGTAAGATGGCTGCGGCCAGTTATGTAGCTACAGTGAAAGATGTGTGGAGAAAGTCCGTTTGCGCAGGTCTGTGTGCCGACACAAGACATACTTGGCGATGCCCGCCCGCGAACTCTGGAGGTGAGGGGTTGTAACAGCTGTTCAAGCAGCACAGACACGGGCCTCTTCGGGAGACCTCAGCTCAGGATTGGGTGAACGTGGGGCAGAAGGTCAAGCGCCACTCGGACGCAGGGTTTCTAAGGTTTGCCAGGTTCTGTGACAGGTGATGCTGAGGGGATGCCAGGTCGCAAATCCACCGTCAAAGCGGCTCTGAAGGCCTCGTCCTCAGAATCCTTTCTATTGATTCGCTTCATTTTGTGTCATAACAGCTTTCCATTTGCAAGCCAGGTTTCCTCTTCCAAGAAGCTTGTGCCCGGCCGTGCTTCCACTGAGGATGCTTTGCAACAGTCTATGGTATTGGGCACTAAATGGTGAAACCATGCGTTTGGATCGCATGCTTGTCACTGCATGTCTTGACTCCCCACGTCAGGACCCGGTGAGTTCGAGCTACGAGGCTCGAGATGGCTAGTCAGAAAGCCACTGCAAGTTCTGAGGCTGCTGCGGCGGCTAAGCGTCAGAGATCGTCAGAGCATGTGCCACTCTTTTTTGGCTCCAGGAAGTTTTCGCTCCAAGCAGAGTCCTTGAAAATTCCGAGTTTCCCGCCCCGACCCTTGATCACTTTCGGAAAGAGCAAAGGGTCTCTCTGTCCGACTGTCTGAGCCCATGGCTGAAGATGGCCCCTATGACCGGGTGCTCACGGAAACCACTGTTGCACCTCACAATGCGGTGAAGGCTGAAAAATTGACGGTGTTCTTGGGTTCTAAGTGCCTCTTGGCGAAGCTCGGCAGAAGGATGTGAGACATGCCGTCCAGGGTCCTCACATTGTGGAGCTCCAAGCACTAAACCGTTTTGGGAGCCCACGTGCCCAAGGAATGCGGAGCTCAAGATTGCCGAGCGCCCAAAAAGCCTTGGCACTAGCTACGGCTTGGTTGGCTGCAACGGATGTGGGAAGAGCACGCTCCTCCGGCTCATGGCGCAGAGGCAGGGGGCGAGATCATATATGAAAGCATATCTAAACCTCGAGCCCAGTTTTTGCAGTTTTTGCAGTTTGGCCGGCATTCGGCATCAGGAAGCTGCCCGTGCCGGAGACTTGGGATGTGTTCTTGCTCGGGCAGCACATCCCGGCCGGCGAAGATCACCCAGTTATTGAGGAGGCACTTTGGCTTTCGGCCAAGGAGGGATGCACGACAGAGCGCCCAAAAAGGACCTGTGAGCAAGGTGTAGTTTCGGGTGAGGATTGTCTTGAATCTGAGATAATCTGAGGTCTTGTCTGCGTCTGCCCGGCGGCGCTTTCTGCTGGCAGAGGCCGCGCGCCTGTCCGCGGAGCTCGAGGCAGTTGAACTTCCCTGAAGAAGCACCGCCAAAGAAGATGTTTCGTCACCTCGTCACATAGATCATGAGCCGTTTCCAAGATGTCCGATTCCTTCTCAAGGGTTAAACCCCAAAATACACCGGGCAATCTCACGTCAAGCAAACACGCAACGCAGGAGGAGGTGGAAGCGCCGGGCTCAGAGCTCCGCTCAGCGGCGCTGCGGCAGGCGTGGAGGGCGAAGAGGGCGAAGAGGGCGAAGAACTGGAGACGATCACAGAAAAAACAGGTAGAGTCTTAGGCCACAAGCCGCTTAAGCCCCTGATATGTGTTGACTCTTGTGAGGTCCTTGCAGACCTGGTGGAGTGGCAGAACGCGCCCAGGGAGGTTCTCCATATCCTGCAGAACTTGGGCTTCCGCGAGGAAACGGAGGCAACGGAGGCAACGGATGCGGCGCCGTCAGCTTCCTCGCCGCTGAAGCAGCTCTCAGGGGGGTGGAGGATGAAGGCAGGGACATGAGGGATTCCAAGGGATGTTTTAGCGTTGAGCGTTCACCTCCATGTTCTCATCGATTTGGTGTTTGGGCCTCAGACGTCTGCCCTGGAGAGGTGGAGCTTGCCAAGGCGCGCCTTCGTGCACCGGCCCTGCTTCATCCCTCGAAAACACCCCCCCCGAATAGCCCATGTCATACTTTACCCTTGTCGGGGGCATCTTCAGGGTTCTTGAAAAGATTTCAAACAGTCTCTCCGAGAAGGAGGAGCCTCGAGTGGTGTTTCTTCTTCTTGGGGGGGATAGATTCAATAGAAAGCGGCAGGGGGCTTGAGGGGACTTGTCCCGGCGGCGAGGCCTTGTGGCTGAAGCCCAAGCTGCTGCTGTTGGACGAGCCGACGAACCACCTGGACTTCCATGCGCAAACGTGGCTCATCCAGCAGCTTGCGGAGTACCCGCACACCACGGTTGCACCCGGGTCTGCATTGCTTTTTCTGAGTTTTTTCCCAAAAGCATGAATTACAACTTTGCTTTTGACCCTGCGGCAGCTGGAGGTTGTTTCCCACGACGTGGCCTTCTTGCACGAGGTGTGCAAGGTCCGTTGGGGTTGTAATTGTAATGCCGTGATGCCGTGTAGTGCCCACAGCTCGTGGAGGTCTGCAGTGAGCAGCTTAATTGTAAACGCTTGCGTGCGCCGGGGGGGG